GTATGTATTTCATGTCATGTATCCGCTCGGAATGGTCGCCGGTCCATTCTGGGTTCTAGTGGCCTTAGTCTACCCACTAGAGTGTGCACATGGTGTCCGACATTTTTAATGTTGGCAGATGAGGTAACGGTCATGGTTCACGTTCACGTGATGATATCAGGTTCATGTTCATGTTATTACCGGTTTCATATTCAGGTTATGTATATACCAAGATCATGATATTGTTATTATTTTCACTGTTTTACTTTAGTATGAGTTTCTGCGGAGCACAGTGTTTTAGTGCTCACGCCCCCACGTATTTCATGTTTTTCAGGTCACAGGGTCGGGGACGAGGAGTTAGCTGACGAGCTGTTCAGGATATTTGTTTTGATATGTATATGTTATGTTTTGGCCACGCTACTTTTCCGCTACAATTTTCAGTACTTTACCTCAGCTTTTGATCCGACACTAGTTGGTTAATATATTTATAACCGTTTTTATTATCAGATTAAAATTAACGGTTTTCAGAAAAGTCAGATTTTCACGGTAACACTCCGAATCATTTTTCGCAAAAATAAATGTTTTATTTATTTTATTTAGAAAAATTGCAAAAAACGTACTCTGATTTCAGTAAAATAGCGGGGTGTTACAATTGGTATCAGGGCACGTTTCTGCGTCTCTGAAAAGTTTTATAAGTCAAAAATTTTCAGAAAACCTGAACCGTCACGCTCACGCCTCGCCGACTACAGGTAAGTGCTGATTTATGTTTTCAGTTATAAACATATTACTTTGGCTATGCTCAGAAATTATTAATCATGACTTCGTTAAGATGCTCGAATCAGGTTCAGACCTTAGAATTCAGTGTACTCAGATATAACTCTAGATTTCCTCAGGATTCATGTCAGTAATTTCCCAGTCATGTTTAGCGACTCGTCAAGAAATTTGTGCACTTTACTGATCAACATCCAAATGTTATCAGTAAAGAAGTTCGAATCAGAATTCAGAACCTGAGAAAGGGGCTAAGTTTGAGAACTCTAGATTAAATTCTAGATTTATTCAGGTCGAGTTTACAACTCGTCAAGAGATTTGTAAACACTTATGTTATACAAATCTTAGTAATCATGTTCCTCAGACATTTTCTATCAAAAATTTCCATTTTGCCAATCAATTGGCAGACTCCAGGGAGGAATTCCTTGATTCAATTCGAGGAATAGACTCAAATTTCTTAAGTCAAATCAGTAAATCAAGTTCAGGGCGAGATTTTCATGTTAAAGGTTGTTATATTTTCCAAGACATTGTCATAGTAATGGTTTCCAGTGTATAAGAGTCAATAGTCCGGGTTACCATGGAGGCTTGAAATAAGAGCCACTCAGCCGGGTATACCATGGAGGATTGAAACTGGGACCGGAGCAGTATGATTTCATGTAATCACAACCTTTAAAGTCAGTCATGTTATGTATTTTATCAGTCATGATATTTCAAGTTAAGTTTTTAAAGATCAAAATCAGCTAATTACTTTGTACTTGCGGGACCAGTTGATACTGGAGCAGCCCTATATAGTACAGAGTTATAAATTCATGTTCACGATTTACAGTCTATATTCATGATGCAAGGTCGATGTATAATAGTTTTTCAGCCGGGTTATATGTGGCGGTCTGATATACAGACCATTAGTCCAAATTTACCTGGAAACTTGAAGTCGCACCTTATCAAGTCAAGTAAATCAGTAAATACTATGTTCCAAATTCCGAGGTGACTATTGAGTTGTCTCGGGATAGCTTTCAGAGTTCAGGTAAAGATGATTCAGTCATGTAAAAGTCTAGTCATGGTTATTCTGTCATGAGAATATTCAGGCCAGTCATGTCAAGATCGAGGATAATCTGTCTAATAAGACAAGACTTATCGATCATTTTCAGTATAATCAGTGCCTCGATTTTCAAATTTCAAAAATTTGAGAAATCGTAGGAAAGATAAATTCATGACAGACTTTTCTTGAGGTTAAGTTTGACCTCAGGAGAAGGAAAAACAGTTGCAGGTACCACAGGTTGACATACGACGCAATGGAGAATTGCCAATCAACAACAGCAGACCATGCCATGATGACCAACTGACGCTTCCCATTCAAGGATGCATGACGCAAGAAAGGAAGGATGCCATGTCTAAGTTACAGTACACAGGAGATTACAGAGAGTTAGCATTATAGTACATTGAGGTTACTAGCTTAAAGTACAGATACGATCAGACTATGTCGACGACGCAGGTGCAATGTTCGCCAGGTGCCGTATGCAGGCGTGCCGCACTCACTTGATGAGGAGCAGGTGTGCCACATTACAATGTGCCGCGAACAATGTGCCGCGTTGTCGAGCAGACGTTTATGAAAGGTAATTACCGATATAGCTAGTTATCCTCATTTGTACACATGCGTATCTCTTAAATCTTCCGTGTGTACCAACGACTGAAGTTTTCCACGATTAACGTTCAGACCGAAGATCAGCAATCAGCCAGGAGATGATGATCATTACGCTCAAGAAGCATGTTTCTAATATCATGT